CCAGTTTATTACAAATACATCAGGATTAGCTGTGTCAGAGAAGATGGAAATTACTTTGTTAAATGCTCACAAGAGATCAAGGATGCTGGTAACATGTGGGTGAAAAACATTCCCGTGGTGCTACTAGCTCTGATTTACATGAAGCAGATTTATCTGGGCAAACAGAAAAGGTTAATAAAAATATGTTCTGCCTGTTCCAGGCAGCTTGAACTAGAATATGCAAGTACTTGAAATAACAAACATTTCATTGAGCAGAAGACAAACTGCAAAAAGACTGGGAAATCAATTCAGATTTCCAGTCTGCTCATGGGCTTTATCTCCAGGCCATACCCTCTATGCCTGGTCAGCAGCCCTGCTGCCTGCATGTGATGCTCCCTGCTGCCAGCAGTGCCTCCACGTCCCCCAGGAGAGTGGCTCTTCCATGTCACAACACCAAATCCTGTATGTACTGCACACTAGGTCCCCACCAGCCCTTATACAAGGGCAGAAACATTCAGGACAAAAACAAAGAGGTAAAATATATCCTGTTCAATTCCACGCTAGAAGCAGGTTTTGTTGAAAACATATATAATTATTAAAGTTTTAAATTTCTGTACATTTCACTGTAGCCAAAGAAAAATGCATTTATGAGATACATACAGCCTTAAAAAAAAAAAAAAAACCACACAGTGGTGGATGATGCGAACCCAGAGAAAATGACACTACAAGAACGCTCTCAGTTACACAAGAAAAGGAAGAATTTCATTTAAGCTGCAAATCTCATCTTGTAAGTGACCAGATGGCACTAAACTGGCACAGATGACATTAAACTGTTCAAGTTAAATTGAAATCTAAACTACATCTGGGCAAAGCACTTCAATTCTGTTCTTAATAGCTCCATTGTTACTCCGGAGTTGATTTCATGGTTGCTTGGGAGCGAGCTCTTTGCACTGAAGTCAATGGTAATTAATAAATAAATTAATAAATAAAATAGCCTTATAGAAACAAACAAACAAACAAGCAGTTTCACCAATCACTTCCATCAAGTGATGTTCTCTGTTTTTTTCAAAGATAAAGCAATGACTTAACTAACAAAAATGGCATTTTCTTTGAATTTTGACTGTCTCCCTTGGGAGTTGATAGAGGGCAGCGTTAAAGGAACACCAGAGGAGGCAAGAACCACAGGCACCCCAGGACCTGGCACACCTACACTAGCTCCAAGACAGTTAAAACAGAGCAAGAAAAACAACTGCTGATCAGGAGCGTTGCATCTGACTTAGGACAACCATCACCAAAATGAAGCTTGACACAGACAGTCAAATGTTCAAGCTTCACAGCTTGGTATGGCCAAATTGCACACAAGGCCTCTATCTCGCCTTTGAACACAACAGCACGCATTATCTGCCACGCAGTATGGCTTCCACTTAAGGCAGAAGAAAGCAATAACTGAGTTTGCCACCAATTATTCAGTCATGCATGAAGCAGAGCATCTGAAAAGTGTTGCTGCGTTCTGGAAACATACTGCTCTTATTTGATATTGCTGTATAAGCATCAAACTATTTTGTTTTAAAAGCCGTGGTAAATTTATGAATGAAACTGTGCAAGAGGGATTTAGTAACAGATCCATAGCAAGTGTTCAGTGGTCTGGACGTTGCCTGCCACCAGGGTGGCATGAAATCATTTGATAATTAGACCATGGCTACACAGGATTAGCATACCATAAAAATATAGGGCTGCATTATTTATATTTATATAACAGATGGATCTTTAAAAAGGTCGTGCATTTTTAATGAATGCAACATCATGCCAGTGTTGACAGAAGATTTAGAAGTGCTGCAACACAGCCAAACAAAGCCTAAGAACACTACTTTCCTTCTTCCCCCCTCTTCTCCCACAGTGGTCATAGAGCAGAGAAATAAATATGAAACAGTGCTATGAATTTAATTCCAGAGTTTACATCAAGTACAGTATTTATGGAGCATTAGCTTTAGGGATGCATTTACATTGTAGGTAATTATAGGACTCATACTACTAAGTCTACCTGAAGGGTACAAGCTCTTATTTAGGTCCACAACACAGGGCTGAGACAGAGTAGAAAGACTACCTACTACTATTGAAAATAGTAAAGGTCTAAAACTATTTTGAAAGAAAAGCAGCAAAAACAGAACACGTAAGGTCTATGGGGCCAGATGACACAACTTGTGAACGCTGCTAATGGATGGAGCTCCTCAGGGCACCTCTTGTACAAGAAAGGCTGAGGTTGTTTAGCCTAGAGATGACAAGGCTCCAGGAAGACCTCACTGTGGCCTTTTAGGATTTGAATTTGAAGGGATCTTATAAACAGGAGGGATACTAATTTTTTACAAGTTCTGACAGTGATAAGACAACAAGGAATGGTTTAATAAAGGAGGGGAGAGTTAGGTGAGATATTAGATGTAAATTCTTTACTCAGAGGGCAGTGAGGCCCTGGTACAGGCTGCCCAGAGAAGCTGCGGATACCCAATCCTTGGAGGTGAAGCCAGGCTGGATGGGATCCTGGGCAGTCTGAGCTGGTGGATGACAATCCTGCCCAGGACAAGAGCTCCAGGATTCTAAGATTTCAAGCCAATGCTTACGCTATAAAAGCCTATAAAACAGAAGTACTTAAAATTTCACTGACCAAATCTTTTTCCAGCTAGTAATGGTGATAAATGCAGTACATCTTTCCAAATTCAGCTGGACAGGTAATGAATGCAGCTAGCTGTGCCTTTCCTGCTTGAAGATTTGGCAGATGATAGCAACTTTCTTTAGCTCTGGAGATACAGAGATAATTTCAGTATAGATGTCCTAATAAATTACTTTACCTTAAGACATACAGGAAAAGCTACATAAGGCAAAGTATATTGGGTTGCTCTGAAAGAATAATAGAATGGTTTGGGCTGGAAGGGACCTTTGAGATCACTCAGTTCCAACCCCCTGTTATAGACAGAGACACCTCCCACTAGAGCAGGTTGCTCAAAGCCCCATCCAGCATAGCCTTGAACACCTCCAGGGAAAGTGCATCCTCAACCTCATTGGGCAACCTATTCCAGTGTCTCAACACTCTCACAGTAAAGAATTTCTTCATAATATCTAGTCTAAGTCTACGCTCTTCCAGTTTAAAACCACATCCTCTCATCCTGTTGCTAAACATCCCCCGATTTATTTCCACGTACAGCAGATACAAAGAGCACAACAACACTGATACAGCAAATGCTCAGGTACAAAACCCTGACTTTCAACACAGTCACCCTTACTAGATATATATTTTCACCAGACACAGACAACAACCTGCATGCCATCCTTGTAGACATCTGCACCAGCAAAGGAGACCCACTGTCTTCACTGCTGAAATATACCACCTACTGTCTCCAGAAATGTTCAGCAAGCGTTGATGAATGTCAGCGGGTGCCATTTTTCCAGATTCACAGATCTAAGTCAGCTGATATGATCAAAACCTTGGTCAAAGTCTGCTCAGAAACCAGACCCAAGAGGATGACAGTCTGTCAGGTACTATTTCTAAACAGGTTAGATGTTATCATCACACTGAGAGGGGATTTCCCCCCCCCCAGTCACCCTTTGCATAGCAGCTGTTACCTCATTTTTAATTATTCATGTCTAGACACTTGTACTAGGAATAAAGAAGATGGTGTGGGTAGAGAGAATGAGAATGGAATTTTCTGAGCGTTGTCTGACTTCACGGACTGCATACTATTGTAAGGAGATGCAAGTTATTTAATTTGTAATTAACAGTTTACTTTAAACTATAGACTACCAGATGCCAGTATTGCCAATTAGTCAATTTACCAAGCAGCAGTATCATTAATTACATGAATCATTACTCAAGAGGCTGTTACTCTGAGACCAAATAACATACTAACAAGCTAGACAGTAAGAGTTCAGATGGAAATACAGTGATACAAATTGTGCTTTTTAAAAGCCTTCCTTAATGGCCAATATTCATCATACTTGAAGTTCCAGGTGCCAAATCAATTCTGTTGTTCCATGAATCAAGTTGGGTAAGCTTATTTGAAGTAACGCAAGCGAAGTGTTTTTTAAAGGAGGTACCAATGAGACATTAATACCATAACAAAGTAACATTCTCATATTCAAATCACTTAATGAATATTTTATGTAAATATGTAAAACAGCCTAGCATTGGAAAGATATGAAGTCCTAACTTTAACACGATATAAGCCTAAGGTATTTTCATATCCGCACTAGGAATAACTTTGGTAGAGAAATCAACGTGTAGAAAAACTTATGAGAAGAATATAACCCTCAGCGGTGGAGTAAAACTCTAAGGCTTGTGAAGAACATGTATCAACCCTCAGTTTCCAGAAGACTGGGGTTTGTTCACACAGCATCTAATTTCATGTTAAGCCATAAGTTCTTGATTGGGACATTAGAGATCAGGAAAGAAGGAAAGAAAAACACTTCAGCACATTTTTATTCCCCCCTCACCTTCTTCAAGGGGGCAGAGAAGGAAAGAAAAAAAAAAAAAAAAAAAAGTTTGCTGCCAGCTTCTAAAGAGGATGTTTCAAAATCTAGATTTGGTTTTGTTTGTTCAGGAGAAACAACTTCACAGTGCACCCTGTCAGACGCCAGACAATCCATTTATTTATGCAATCTGATTAATCTGACTCCTGAAGTCTGCTTCTGCAGGCTGCCTTAAAGACAACTACAAGAAAACCAGAAGGCATCAGCAGCTGGCAAGAACCTGGTAAGCTACACCAGCAAGCTACTAAAATTCAGTACAGCTTTAAAAGCAAACAGATTGCTACAACAACAGCTTTTGTTTTTATTTCCCTGTTGCTTTCACCACTTGGACTCAGCTTTCCTAACAAAAATGTCGTATTTTCAATACCTGCCCACAGACCCGCTGGAGCAGACCTGAGGAAAGCCCCACAGGCCACATTCCTCTCCTCAGTTTTAAAACCCAGGAGTCCCCCCCCCATCCTCACTCTTAAAAATAAAGATCAATTTAGGAAAACAAGACTCACCACAACCTTGCAGGCCACTCTCCATGCTTCTTGTGCTTCGCCCCAGTAGCACCTACGTCCTTATCTCCAGCCTTTCTACAGGGGCACAAGGAGGATCCAGCTGTAGCTCATCAGCCTCAGCTCCCTCACCTGCCTCAGACTGCACCTTAACCCTTTCCAGGCTGTGGCCACCAGTGCCCATCTTTCAGAAATGTAGTGAGTCCACAAGAGCAGCACAAACATGCTCTCCTGCTTTATGCTGGTTAAACTTTCCTCCCTTCCCCATGGCAGCATGGTATGCTCTAGCCTTCAACTCCACTCCTACCCTAGCTGAGGTAGCCCTCCAAAACAACCCAGTATCTGCAGGACTAGCACCCAAATTCTGGTTGGTTTGTTAACTTCTAAGGCACTGTGCCCCTCGCTGGAGAACCAATTAATATCAACGTATGGCTCTCAGAAGCAAGGCAGCCCAGGGGCAGGTGAAGCTAGCCTGGAAAGCAGGGCACCTTTAATTTAGCAGAGAGCCCAGGAGATGCAGGTGTAACTTCTCACAGCCTTCCTGACACAGCTGTGCAGTTGCACACAGCTGAGGCAGCCCAGTCATCAGGGTGCTGGGGCCCGGCTGCACTACTAAAAAACTGGAGTTAACACCATTATGGTAGAATGTATTTATCTTCAAGAGCACAGCTTCAATGCTGCCCACCTTGGCTACTTCACCTACATAACCATAAGGCAATATAGTGCCTCCTCTAAGCAAGTGTCAGATAAACTCCTCCATCAGTTAGGGTTGCCTTTGCTTTTGAAGATGCTGAAGTACAAATAAAGCCAAATCTTTTTCCAGCTGAGTTGCTTTGTGCAAACACCAAGTAAGGTAAATACATGTGAAGGGCTTGGATTGCTTTGAACTAACCACAGACAGACAGGCCAAGCATCTGTGAAGGAATTTATGCTAATCAAGGGGTAAAGGGGCTTCCTTTGTCATGCCATAAGCAGCATGGATCTTTCCTCCAGTTTCTCTCAGCATAAGCCTAATGTTTACAAATCCAGAAGCAGGGACTTAACACAGTGTTTATTATTTCATTCCCAAAGTGGAAACAAATCAGTGTTCGGTTATGGTTTATGGACACCACACTCTACTTTCTACTGTTGCTGACAGAAGCCAGTATTTACTTGCTCTTAAAAGCAGCAAAGAAATGTCTGCCTCTCAAAGTAAGTGCCTTGTGCTGGAAGCAACGAGCATTCTACCAATAGCTTGAGCAGCAAGAGAAGGGCCCATGGAAGCATGGTGGCAAGACTAATTCTTGTTTTGTTCAGTCTCTCATTTTGGTGGTTGGCACTTTGTGCTGAGAAACACCTTACTTGAGAGCAAAAGAAGCAGCTTTCTTTTAATTCCTACCCTCTAAGATGACATCTGCCAGTTGGTATAAAGAGTGGCTGAAGTTCATCTTCGCAATTCTGAATTTTAGGCAACTGAAGATTTGGCCCAGCATCCCGTAAACAGCATTTTCCTTCTCCTCAGTTTGTACTTTTCTGTAGCATGTGCACTGCTGAAAAACAAATCAGTAAACATCACATGTTGAATCACATAGTAAGGTGCTTCAACAATGACAGAAAATTAATTGTAACAAAATAAGACTCCTTGTTGTTTATTAGATATTGTAAGAATGAAATGCACAGTATAAAAATTCATATCAAAACTGTTCACAACTGGTTTTGACAACACATTTTTCTTTGGATTAACTACACAAGCAGCTTTCTAACAAGTTCTGCTGAGATCCATTTTTACATTTTCCAATTTTAAGCATATCACTGTGCTATCTACAGTTTGATCTACAAAACTAAAGCAACTAAATTTTTGCAGCATCAGGAATGAACAGGTCAATAACATTAGCTTAGAGGGGAAAAAAAAAAAAGAGTAGTTTGTTACAACAAAATGTTAATTGTTCAAATTCATCAACAGAATTGCTTTTGAAATTCCAAGTCTTATGATTGTACATTTTCAATATCAAACACTTGAAATATATTGATGACAAAGTATTTCTACTTACATTTTTCTTTTAGACAAACTAATAGTCCTGCTTTTTAATTCCCTAATGAATTGTCACATCTTTAATATTGGTGTAAAACACAGTTCATTCTGCTAAAGAAATATTGTAAATGTTTCCTAAGATGCCCATTTTCATTTAAAGTATTAGCTATGTTAATGAATGTAAAATGGTTTTTATTTGCTCAATCTCTGTATTTTCAGTTTGTATCATATTGTTTAGAAAAAAGAAAACGTTACTACTGATGACTAACTTAAAACTGTCTGTCTGTGCTATACATTACATGTTGGCCATACTACTTTTTGCTACAATATAAAATACACTACAAAATATTGAAATTATTACCAGGGAATATTGCATACTGTTATTAATAGCAAGAATTTTTCCCTGATTAAAAAATAATATCTGTGTCTTCATTTCCCATTCATACTCTATTTTGCATTAGGAAGATGATTTGAACTGAAAAATTCTTCTCATATTGTCCAATCATTTTTTCTTAGAAGACACTGAATGTATTTGCAGCATTGCAATGCATTCAAAATAGTAGACTGCTGCTAGATATACCCATGTATCAATGATTTAAAACAGGAATGGGTGCCTCAGAGCACTGGGTCAGCCTCAGAGAACAAAATAGGTGGTGTTCTTTCCCTTGAGGTGTTTCAAATATAAATCACCTTCTAAATTGGCACATATCACAAGAACTCTTAAAATAATGCCTGTGAAGTGAAGACAAATCCCAACAAAAATGATGCAAACCCAGTCTTTAGAAATAGAGGAAAGTCCAAAAATATTTTTGTTCCTTTATCTTTTAACATTAAGCTGGTAAATTTTTTTTTACAGACATTCAAATTATCTTATGCTAGCAGCAGCTGGACTGTTTACTTTCCTTGTATTTATTTATTCTTAAGACCATTGGCAAGAACAGTCTGTAGGCTCTTGGATTGAATAGCTGACCCAGGTTGAATTACTAGTGCAATACAATTGCACGGTTCGTCTCTGTAGTCCAAGCTCCCTGCAGCATTTGCAGAATCTTGCATATGTGTTGATGTTGTAGTTATATATACTTGCAGACGGGCACTTTCCATCACATGAAACAATGTTCACCTGGTAAAAAAATATAAAGAACATCAACAAAATTAAGCAATTAGGAAATAATATTAGGAGTTCCTAAAAAAAAAAGTCTAAAGAAATTAGGCACCCCAAACCAACAGCAAAGCAATGAAAAAGTAGGTATTTATTTTATCCTCTTATGGAATTCCACTGCAATTGAGTAATAAACAAACACTAAAGCATGTTGCCTAGATATGTCTCAACCTTCATCTCACTGAGCTTAATGATGACTTTCCTGTTGATTTCAGTAACAGCAGGTTTTACCTATAAATACACACAAAGAAACAACTTCAGTTTTGAATTTAAAAGTATTCATAGCAACCGTGGCTTGAGCATGGCACTGAATGCTCCCAGCAACTTCCTACAGTATTAATTTCAGCAATATACTCATGTGGTGTCAATATGCTGGCAGCAGTAAGCAGGAATACAACGAAAAAGCCAACAATCGTCACTGTGTTAAAACAGCAGGACGCCCTGTGACAGAAAAAGACACCAAAACTCGTGATTTTTTCAAGTTCAGTAACCAGGTTTTGCATTGCTTGATGCATTTCTTAACACTGAGACTAAATTTTCTGGCTGTACAACAATTCAGTCTGCAAAATGTGCTCAGTGTCACTTTGGAGGTTACAGCTGTTATGCTATACTCTTCTATTACAGCTTTTTCAGGTGCTCTTGCACATCTCACACAAGACATCTGCACTCTTGTTACTGCTCACATTGCCTTACTGCCCAGCAAGAGGTTGGTGTCTTCCAGCCATAAATCATTCAGTAGACACACAGATAGCGCCTCGTTCTTCCTATATATATCACAATATGCTCATGCTGCTGTCTAAAGATGAACTTCAGGAGCTGAGATTCCTTTCTTTGTTGGCATTTAAGATGGCATTGAAGCACTTTCCTGGGACAGACGGAAAACTAAACACATCTGCAGTAGTTTCAACTGCAGTATATCACTGGCAAGTGTCTGTTATATTAAAGTTAACTGCATCGTACCCTACTAATTGCATTGTAGGGAAAGATGAGAGTTAGGATTTGCACTAAATTAACTTCAGCCTAGAAGTGTTCAAAAGTGGGGGAGACATACTCATTCTTCTTCTTAATTGGGAAGATGATTGCTGATAATATAAGGAAACACAGACTTCCATCTCTGTGATACAGAGAGATGCAGACAGTAGCACCTTGAGATTTTTGTTTCCTTTCACCCTATTTTTCTTATTATCAAAGAAATTTTAATAGTTATTTACTTACTGGTGTGTTACTCCTGCAGTCATTCTTGCGGATAGTCATCCTAACAGTCACCTTTTTACAGAATTTTCCATCTTCCTTACCTGCAAAATGGGCATTGATTGAAAAAAATATGAGCTCAAACTTCTTAACATTTCAGAGATGAGAACATTCCCGAATGTGTTATGGTGTTAAGAGGCAAAGAATATACCCCATACATCTCTACAAAAGTTCTTGTGACATTAGCTGTACTTTGCATTGAAGTCACTGCTTTTAAAACATTCTAGTTCACTCATTAAAATACATCTCCTTGTGTCTCCATTATCTTGTATCTCTGAAAGTTTTATTCTTCATTCAGAATCCTTTTACAGAGTAAGTCTATGCTGTCTTTCACAACATTTTGTAAAACTGATCAATTACTCATGTGAAATGGCTTTTTCAAGATGCATAAACTGCATTTTCTATTAAATAAATCAAACCTTAATAGTAATAACCAAATTCCAGTGATGTAAATAAACTTTAAAATGAACACAACACCAGGATCTGAAAGTAATTAGGGCTCAGCAGAGGGAGCGGATTCTGTATATTTTTTTTTTAATAAGAAAAAGAACATAGATGAATAAATTAAATATTTTATTTACATTTTCATTTGCATTCTGATCACATTTTATCTCACGAAAGTGTTTACAAAGTATGTGATGAAATAACAAAAGATATTAAGAAATGAAATAAAAGCAATTAAA